TGAAGGTAACCTTTTTAAAACTTCAGTGAATCTTATTCACTTGTTTCGATAAATTTAGATTTTAAGACTTATTATCTTAATACAGAAATTTCAAAATGCCCTCCCTTCAACAGTAACATAAAGATTCCTGAGCATTGTAGATCCTGAATTATTCCCTTTTGCATTTTAACTTTCTAAAACGGCATTATATCATCTGAGGCTTTCAAACTAGTTACAGGACAAAGGGGATAGTGTGGATTACCAAAGATCCACCTAATCATCAATTGAATGGCACAATTAGGGATTTCCCTTGAGGCTTTTTAAGGGGCCAAACATCAGACAGTTGTGCAAGTTCATTTTTTCAACAGAGCTTCAGTCAATATTTTCACAAAACTAATACTATTGAAATATTGTATAATTGTATATAAATATTGTATAATTGTACAATGGCTATTGTTTCTGTCTTCTAAGTGAATTAACAGCACAAGACGTGCTATAGAATCCATACTGATGTAAATCTCTGTCCATGTTCCTAATTTTTAAAAAAATTGTTGAGGATACCCTCCCTTTCAGCTTTAAGAATCGCTCCTTTTTCTCCTCTCGATTGCTGAAAGATGCATACAGCCAGGGGCATCATCTTACTCTGATGACAAGTGAATGAAGGCAGGAATCTGAATCTTCTGTTCAGTAAAACGTTGTTTTGTTCCACCTCTGCCCCCACCCATCCCCACTTCACTTTCAGGAGCGTATCCGGAACCACAAATATCGCAGCCTGAATGATTTGGAGAAGGATGTCATGCTTCTATGTCAGAATGCTCAGACTTTCAATCTCGAAGGATCCCTGGTAAGACATCTCCCGGCAGTTCGCGCATGGTCTTGACACTAAAAAAGTGCACGGGCCCCCCATCTTGTGAATTGAACTAGTTCTCCTCCAGTTAAAATGCGTTTTGAGAGATGCATAGTTTCTGTGCCATGTAAGCCGATGGATTCAGTATATTCCTTGACTTACACAACAGTTCGTTAGTGACCGTTTGAAGTTACAATGGACCCCTCAAAAAGTGACCTATAATCATTTTTCACACTTATGCCCGTTGTAGCATCCCCAGGGTCACGTGATTTACATTCCGATGCTTGACAACTGACTCACATTTATGACCAGAGTCATGTGATCCCTGCTGACAAGCAGAGTTCATGGGGAAGCCAGGTTCTTAACAAGCATGCTGCTCATTGAGCACTGCAATCGTAGAAAAGTGGTAAAGTGGGCCAAAACTCACTTTACGAATTTTTTACTTAACAAAATTTGGGATCCACTGGGGTCGTAAGTTGAGGGCTGCCTGTAGTTTTTTTTATAATATCATGGTTGTGGGCAGAATACATGTAACCAGAATTCATTTGCAGAGATATGACAAATCATTAGTCTTAAATAATGGGTAAGAATTATCAGGAGATAATGGGTTTTATGAATCTCATAAAGCTCTTTTCTATTATCTCTCACATCCTTAACCAAGCTTTAGAAACCCCCTTCAATTTACTTCAGTATGTATCTGATCAGTGGTGGGATTCAATTTTTTTACTACCGGTTCTGTGGGCGTGGCTTGGTAGGCGTGGCAGGGGAAGGATACTGTAAAATCTCCAGTCAGAGGTGGGATTTGCTGGTTCTCTGAACTACTCAAAATTTCGCTAGTGGTTCTCCAGAACTGGTCAGAACCTGCTGAATACCACCTCTGTATCTGATGCTGTTTTAAATGCTACTGCAACCAGTTAAGATGGGCAGCCACTTTTTCCCATTCTTCTTCCTAATTCAATAAGGAACACAAGATTGCTGGAAGATTACAGCAGGATATATGATAGGAGTACACACTCAAAAGTGTTGTATGTCCCCAGTAGTATTAAGAATGACCCCATTTTTTAAAAAACAAAACCATCATAACAACTGAGGGCATGGACTGAGGATAAATATAGAACTTAGCCCAATGGAATGAAAGGGTTAAATCAGATACAATTTCTTCGTTTCTTCTGTGGTTTCCTGTAGATTTATGAAGACTCAATTGTACTGCAGTCTGTCTTTACTAGTGTGAGGCAAAAAATTGAAAAAGAGGAAGACAGCGAGGGAGAAGAGAGTGAAGAGGAGGAAGAGGGAGAAGAGGAAGGATCTGAATCAGAATGTGAGTGTATTTTTTTATTCTGCATTATTTTCTTTGGAAAACAAATGTGTAAATTTTTCAGAAAAAAAGTCTAAATGGCTTCTTCCAGTTGAACTGAATTAGTACCATGATGGCGAACCTATGGCATGCTTGCTGGAAGTGGCACGCAGAGCCATCTCTGTGGGCACGCGAGCCGTCACCCCAGCTCAGTTCCAATGCGCCTGCGCGCACACCTCCCACCAGCCAGCTGATTTTTGGGTATTTGCCGTGCATGAGTGAGGGGCGGGGCACATGCAGGAGACGTGTGCGCATGCGCAGGGGGTGGGGGGAGCGGGAGGGTCATACATGCATTGTATTATGGGTGCAGGCACGTGCGCACACTCACACACACGCACTTTTGGCACGCAACGACAAAAAGGTTACCCATCACTGTCCTGGTAACTTCATGGACACACCTGTGTCATTTTGCTGGTAGCAATACAGATGTAATGTGCCTTCCCTGGGATACTTTTCAACTTCAGTGATAGAACTATAGAATTGGAAGGTACATTAGAAGTCCTTCAATCCCCTACTCATGGCTAGATCTATAAGAGAATCTCGACAGATGCCCATCCAACCTTCCTTTGAAGTCCTCCATGAAAAGCTTCTGTCCTATAGCATATACCGTTTTAGTAGCAGACAGCTTGCAATCAGGAGGTTCCCCCTGATATTTGCCCCAAATCTCCTTTCTTGTAGTTTTAATTTACTGGTTCCCTTTGTTTCCGGTGGTTCAGTAGACAAGAAGATGGCTATTGTACCTTCCCTTAAATCACATTTCTTTAAACTAAAGATATCCATTTTTCATAGGGCAAACATTTTATATCTTAGCGCCCTTTTTATGAACTTGCTCTAATTTGTCACTGCCTTCCTTGAATCTTGGTGCTTAGAGCTGGATATAGTATTCCATGTTCCTGGTATTTCTGACCACACATCCACCTGTGATCCTTTTGGGGTTTTGAAGATAGCCAGAACTGGCTAGATACTTCTTGTCAAATATAAGGTAAAAGTACAAAAATTATGATGGGCAGATGAAAAAGTGTATCTGAAAGCCTGAAATTAGAGCCATCAGGAAAGGCTGACCTTTGACAAAGTTAGTATCCAAAGCTTGTGAGGAACGCCTCATCCTGCCCCTTTCTGCACCATCCTTATGTGTACATAAAAGGCTGTTTGTTTGTTTTCCTAAGAAGAATATGAGTTTTTGTGTGGTTATGTCATAAAACAAGCTAGGTTATTAGGTTTAGGAATACAGTGAAGCAGATTAATGGAGCATTTTGGAAATACAGATATCTAAGTCAGAATGGTGTCTATTTCTCGTGTAATGTGAATATGAAAATCCAGGAGAGATTTCGAATCATTTCAGTCCTAATTTATAATGGAACAGGAACATAATCTCATAGCCAGCTTTACAGTCTTTACAATCTCTGTCTGTTCTTCTTCCCAGCTCGTTCTGTCAAAGTGAAGATTAAACTGGGCAGAAAGGAAAAAGTACCAGACCGAATGAAAGGCCGCAGACGCACCAGCCGCGGGTCCCGGGCTAAACCCGTAGTTAGTGATGATGATAGTGAGGAAGAGCAAGACGAGGTAGGTAATAAAACAACAGATTTTTTCTCCCAAAATGACATCAGTGATCCCAGGAGGAGTGCTTTCGTTGGAGAGAGATGGCCATATAAAAAAAAAAAAGAAGAGGGCCTTTTCCATTTAAATAAGCAGAAACACAAAACCAAGTTCTACTTTTCAAAAACCAACATATGGTACAATGAGTAAACATTTTAGACCTTGGTTCATCCATGAGACCTCCCGGAGGATTACTGCTTTTCTGCCTGGCTAACTACTTCCCCAGGACAGTCTGGAAGATACCCGATACGTGAAGGTACAACTAAAAAGAATTTTCCTCTTCTCTCCTAGGATCGCTCAGGAAGTGGCACAGAAGATGACTAGGTGACATTCCATGATGGAGACCTCAGGCGTCAGTTTTTTCCAAAGCAGAGGTGCTCTAGTCCTTTAGCTGCAACGGGTAGCAAGAAAAGTAGTGTTGGATGTGGGGTAAACTGTATAAATTCTTCCATATTTATACTGCAGTGAAGATGTAGGACTTATTTGTGTCTTGCCTTGTCCTCACATCAGTAGCGTTTGTAACAGCATTAACTGTTTTTTAAAAAGATTATGATTGGGGGAACACTTGATTTTTTTTTTAATGGCAGTACTATTTTCAGTTGCAGTATTGAATCACTGTAGTTTTAACCTGTGGGTGCATGTGTGTAAGCAGTCCACTTCCTAGTACTGTATTTTATGAAACAGGTCAAACAGCCAGCAAGGAGAGGGTGGCAGGAATAACTGTGTCAGTGTCACTGGATTTCAAACAGTAATAAATTAAGCAAAGCAAACAAACACCCCACCATCACCTGTGCTGCATTTGTTAAATGTGCTTCTCTTTTATGGTAACATCTGGAAAGCCCCTCCCATCAGCTCAGTAAGGTCTGATATATCCATCTTCTGATCCATTCAGAGAATACAGAATAACTGAGTTGGAAGGAACTTTGGAAGTTTTCTAGTCCAACCCTCTACTTAAGCAGGGAACCGTGTATCATTTCAGACAAGTAACTGTGCAGTCTCTTGACTATGTCGACTATGATTATGGCCTGCTTAGAATGATTGTCCAGATGTTCCTAAATTTCCATCTGGCTTCTCCTCTGTAGTATTATTCAAAGGAGATGACAGCCCAGGTTGCAATATCTTACCCATTCCAGATTGCTCAAGAGATTTTGACCAGGCCTGTTTTTGTAAAACAGATATTTAAAGAATTTAAAAATGAAAAGATCAAAACACATCTTTAAAGCATTTTAGCTTTTATTCATTTTGTCTCTGGTATTCTTTTTCTCATTCTGAAAGACTCTGCTTCTTTTATCCATGGCTATGTTTGTGGGAGATCCTCTGGCATGGCCTGCTGGGCAATGAAACTATATTCATGGGCTAGCCAAGAACAAGAGAGGGGAGCAAGTCGCTCTGATTTCAAATTGAGTTACTTTCTAGACCATGTATTCTATAAATATACCGAACTTTGATACACACGTGGAAGGTATTCAGTAGGTTTGTGGTTGCTGTGGTTTAAGAGATGCTGTATTTAAACCAGCTACCGTGGCCTTGTTTAAAGACTTTCCCATTACTCAAGAAGGGAGAAGGGAGGCTTATCCTCAGGTCAACCTAGTTCTCTCACACACCTAGAATCTGCTACAGAAAAGTATTTTCCTTGGAATACCCAGATTTTGGAAAATTACGTAAAATAAACACCGTATACATTTTTATTTCAGGAAAAGAATTTCCTTCTGTATTTTTCCATATAGCTCATGTAACTCCTTGGAAATGTTACTATGGGGCAGGAAAAAATAGTAATGGAAACAGTCCAGAACACAAAGGAACCATGGCTGGAAATTAACTTTCTAAAAAATAAGGGCGAGCAAAGCAACAGCACAACTCCCTGCATTACGCTATGTAGGGCATTAATATGCTGTGAAGGAGAGAGGCAGGGACACCTACTCCTTCAAATCATCCTTTAGCCCTCTTTCCCAATGAACTGGATTCTGCTCCCTTAATAACCTAGACAACCTGAGCCAATTAGAGTCCATATCCAGTTGTATCACAATCGGTATAGTTCTGTACCAAGGAGTGAAAGCTCTTCCAAATTGTGACATCATGGCAACAGATGGTACCACCCCCACGGTGTTCCTCTGCATGATTACGGTTCATGTCTCCAACACAGGCCCACCCCGAATCACTCTCTACTCCAACACACCACTTGGAATGGTCCGACGTGGAAAAGAAGCTGGTAGCTGGGTCCTGGAAAGCCAGTTGCTCCACATTGTAGACTCTGTACTGTCCAGAGCAGTTGGATGCCAAAACCCCTGGAGACTTGAGCCAGAACTCAACGTAGAGATCAGTAGCAAGAGCCTGGGCCAGCCAGCCAGAGTACAGATCTGGGGAGATGAAATAATAGCAAATGAATGTATGAGGGTAGTTTGGATATAACTCGGTTGCCATATTCCTTTACTCTCTCCAGTAATTCCTCTGCTTTCTGTGCCTACCAAGACTAACCCCCCCCCCATCATTACTTACCATCATCAAAGAAGCCGATTTTTGCAAAGCTGACAAATTCCTTGCCCCCTTTTGATGTCAGAGTCACCTGGGAATTCCAAGGCTCCTCCTGTACATGTTCTCCCTCAGAAGCATTCAACAAGGCAGGCAGATCCCGGGCAAAGGCCCCTTGCACCTGGTAATCATAGACACGGGGCTCCGTGAAGAGCAGCTGATTCCCTAAGGCAGAAATACGGGGTTACACTATTGGATTCATGGGCTGAGAGCGCATTATCATCCTGCCCAGGGGAGAGGGGACAGACACTTGAACACCTTTGTGGTCTGAAAACAGCTAAGGATATTTCTATACTGCTGGGATCTACCTTCTCCAGTCTCAGAAAGACCCATTGCTTTCCCCATTTGCCAAAGTTGACCAGCATTTCCTTCACCTGGCTTACAAGAGGATGCCAAAACTGGGCTGGCAACATATCGCCACGTCCCCATTCTCATCATGCTTGTCTCTGCAATGAGGCTAATCTCCCCACCCACCTACTATTAATTGGCTATCCAAGGCAGCAGTTTGTTGACTGTTAGGAAGGGGAAAAGGCAAGGAGACAGGGATTCTTAAAAACAAATGGCAATCCATAATTTTGGGATTTGGAGCAGCTGAATACGGCTGCTAATGTGGGAAGCTAGGAATATAGCCCTACCTTGTGTGGAATCTGCCTCAGTTTATCCATAGGCATAGTGTGCTTCTTGAAATAGAATCATGTTGAGAGATGGTGCTACTTAGTGAAGGTCTCCTTGTGTGTATGCTATTCCTTTGTGGGGACGAGAGACGGACTGTCCTCCCATTTTTATGGGAAGGCTTGGAATGACATGGTTAGATTGACACATGCATTTCAGGAAAGCTAGCATCAAAATGTTTGGCTGCAATTCTTCCACACAAATTTTTGTAGCCCTTGAACAATAATTTTAGAAGTCATGCTTCTTAAGAGCATGAACCTACCCATTCCTCTTTATTTTCATGGTAATAGCTCTGCTGCCTTGATTATCCTATCTGTATCTTCAGAATCCATTCATTCTCCTGTACAAGCCACAAATTCAGAAAGATTTTGGTTTGGCAAAGACATTTTAGCACCTCCTAGCCAAAGGTCCTGAAATAATCCCAAAGTTTTGATTTTCAGCATGAAGTTTTTAAACATCCTAACATACCCCAGCCCTCACACCTACCAATGGCTTTGAACTGGCTATAGGGGTAAGTGACACACAGAAAGCTCTGTCCGTAAGTCAGGGCAGTGTGGGGCCATGCATACTCCTTCTCATCCAGTCTGGGAGGAAACCGAGGTGTGCTGTGAACAAGCCAGAATCCTTGAGTTCTGTCCAGGAGGATGACCCCTGATTGGGGAGGGAGGGGAAACAAAGCATACAGTCAAAGACTGCAGGTCACACCTAGCCTATTCGAATACATTTGATTTGATTTGATGCAAGAGCATTACCTTTTGTATGACCCTTAGAACCAGAGAAAGTCTCCTTTGGAGGCTCATCGTTGTACAGCACATAGGCCATCTCTTCCTCCCTCTGGAGGGAAAATAAAACACAGGTAGAGCACGGTTTTTCAAGCAGAACTTGAGTAGCTTCATGAGAGATTAGTGACAAAAAGAGATTCACTTGAATGCAGACCTTTAGATATCCAGAGCAATTTTTTTAAGGGGAGGCTTATTAGGTGACATTTCAAACCCTTCCCTCCATGACTTGACATACTGTTTTACTTCTTTAGTCCCACGGTCTGAAAAGGCTAAGAGGACCTGTGGCAGCCTGACACCAGCCTCAACTAATGTGGCCTTTACCACAGTTTAGCACCCAATCCCTTTCCTGGCCAGATGGATCTACTTGTGATTGACAAGTAGTCATTGGGGTGATTCAAGGGAAATCTTGGTCAGTAGAAGCTGAGTCTTTTCAGTGAGAGCCACATTACCCCATGACCATGGTTTTTAATTTGGTAACCATGAGAAGCTGCTCTTTCTGCAGACTCACCTGCCTGTTTGCTGCCTCCAGGTACAGCTGATTCAGTGTTCTGCCCACAGCTCCCTCAGTACTGTTCATCAAGCTCCTGCCTTTCACCCAGCCCTGGGTACGTCCATCTTGATACATGTACCGCATACCTTCTACTGGGGAACTGTGGTGGGACTTTGGCAGCTTGTAAACAATAAACCTGTAAAACAGGCCTTTAGAAATCACAGCCAGCCCAAGGATGAGAGAACTCTAATTTCCACTGAAGTATGCAACATGACTTCATTGTAGGATTAAGACTGAAAGGAGATGAGACATCTGATAGAGAGCATATTAGGTGTGTAAATTCCCAAGGCAATCTAGGGAAGTGGCAAGGCTCACAGGATTTCAAACATAGATTCACTGAGAAAAAGGATGTTTCCCAGCAGAGTGAGGGGAATTCATACATTACATACCAATTTTCTGCCAGAAATCCAAATGACTCAAATCACTTCTGACCTTTAGAAAAGCCTTGAGGGAAGATGTTCCATAGGGTACTTATTTAAGGTCCTTCAAATACATCCGTTAGGAATTTTGTTTGTAGTAATTTATGAAAAACTTGGATAGTTTTAAGAATTGTTTCATTATATATGTACTTCTGTCTTAATTGTACACCACCAAGAGTCCATGTAGAGTGTGATTGTTGATAAATACAATAAATAAATGCAATTTCTGACTAAAAGGCAGCCAGGATAGAGTGTACTGTTTACACAAGGCATTTCAAATACACCACTTGTTCATGGATGGTTGCAGGGAAGGAGTTGGGGTAAACAGTTGGAAAGCCTACAAACTGCCAAGGAAAAAGGAAGGGAGAGGTGGAGAATTTAGTTTACTTCTTGTAAATTGCATTAGAGACTTTGGTGAAAGGCAGGAAAAGAATCTTTTTTGAGAAAACAAAAAATAAAGCCAGGTAAAATAGACACATACCAGTCCACACGCTCCCCAGAGTCGCCATAGCAGGAAATGCTCCCATACACAACATCATATGTGAGAGCCAAAGACAACGCCAGAATGAGCAGCATCAGGATTCGGCAGAATCCCTGCAAAGGAGGTACAAGTATGGCTAAAAATGAAAATCAGGACAACAATCACCACGATTCCACCATTATCCTAATATATCTGTTAAGTATACCCATGAGGTTCTCTTTTTTTGTTATTTAACTGAGGGCAGTTTTCTAATTAAATATTCTTTAAGGGGAGGAAAGCTGGCTTATTGTCCAATGTATTTTCATCTCAATAGTCAATTCTCTAAAATTTTCTTCCCAACATATTTTCACTTCTCCATTTAGCAAATGGAGTTTGTAATAGAAATAGAAATTACTTTCTCTTGCATAGTACCAGGAGGACTCTACTTATAACTGTGTTCAAAGGATACATTCACACTGAAGCATAAAGCAACCACATGTGCTGGATTTGCATAACAGAGAACTAGTTGTCTTACCCATAACCCACTGTACCAATCCATGCAAGCACTGCCCATAGAGTCAGTACCTGTTGCGCCTCTAGTCCCGTGGAAAATTCATCTTTCATCAAAGTACAATTATTACTTCTTCCCCCCCAGTAACTCAAAGATTCAGATTAGGACAGCCATGGCATAGAAAACTCAAAAGAGGAAAAAAACCAACAGGCAACCCAGAATCGGTCTAACCAAAAAGAGATTTACATCTCTCGTGCATCTCATTCTAGCCCAAGGATTAACGCGGAGAAATTACCGGTAGATCACCCTTCCCCAACCTGATGATCTCCACTTATTTTAAGACTGCAGCGCCCACATTCCTTGCACAGCATAATTATGGGAAATGGGAGTTGAAACGCTGCTGAAGGACGTTAGGAAGGCTGAGTCATAATCCCAGCCAGGCAGGGAGTTTTTCTTCCCAGCGTTAAAGCTTTCGGGAGCGTAAGAAATCACCGAGAAGGGAGCGAGCACGCACAAAGCGCTCGCCCCGGCGCTCTGTAATCCGAGAAAGCGAGCGCTCCCCTCCGCTTGCGGACCCTTTTCTGACTCAACTTCCTGGGCACGATGCCCTCTTCCCCCCCACCCCCCGCCTGCCGGGGAGTCTGCTCCTCCTCGCGTCGCCTGTTACGAGGCTGACTCACTTGGACGCTTTTTCGGATGCTCCGGAGGGAGTACTACTCAGGTAGCGCAGCCACCGAAGGGGGACGGTGCGGACTGGACCTTTAAAACAGCTGCCTTAGCAGGGGCCCGACCGAGCGCGCCGCGCTTCTCCGCCTCGTTCCATGTGAAAGGGAAGGAGAAAGCTCAGCCAGCAATACTGTCCGGGACTTACTTCCCCACGAAGAAGACAATCATGTGCCTTAGCTCCACCCTTCCCACTTCGGCGGCGGCTCTTGCAGCAAACCCCGGGCAGAAAGAGAAGGCGATAGCAAGCTCAGCAGGCGCCGGGCTGGGGTGGCGGAAAGCGTTTGGCGGCGCTTGCCTATATGCCCAGGCAGCTGCGCTTATGGGAAGAGGGAGGAGGGTCATTTGGAGTGCACCAGCCGCCTCTGCTGTAAGTTGCAGGCTAGGTGGGGAAATCGTAGCTACTCGGTGGTTTCTTCGGAAAAGAACAGTAGGAAAGTTTGTTGTAGTTGCCAAGGCTCCTTCGAGCTGACTACCTCAATTACACGGAAGCAACCCTGCGGCTTTGCTTCTCCATTAAATTTACTGCTGGGGAATCTTCTGGCGATCTTCTATCCCAGCGCCGACAAGTGCTGACCCTGCTTTAATTCCTTAGATGAATCGAGATCCGAGAGCTCGGCAGATGTTAAGCCTTTGAGGTAATCCAGACAAGCAGCACAGCAACGAATCCGACTTTTTAAGCTGTTGGTTGTCCTATGTGTCCTCCTGTCCAGGTGGTGTCTGTTTTTTTGTGTTGTTTTTTTTTTTGTTTTTTTTTATCAGCCTGGTATGACCGGTGGCCTGAGGTCTTCTGGAGCTGACATCCTGACAGGTTCAGCTGGAGCAGTTTCTTCAGAATCTGAATCCTGACCCTCTTTCCGCCAAGAGCACACGATCTGCATGTTTTAAGTCATTTATTCCTGTATCTTTAAATACTTCAAAGAAGCAGGATAGAAAGAGTACTGTGGTTTCTTTCAACTCTGGTGTTGGTGAAGACTTATGAGAATATTGTGGACAGCCAAGAAAATTGAACAAATCAACCAAAAGTTCTCACTTAAGGCACAAATGACCATAAATTACTCCATTTCAGTCACAGTATGCAAAGACCCAACTCTCTGGAAAAGGAAGTGGAAGGAAAGAAAAGTAAAGGACAACCAGCAGCAAAGTGGATGGACTTGATGATAATGGCAATGAGTGCACCATTGGGAAACCCAAAGGAAGAGATTAGGGATAGGCTGTCACCCAAAAAAGCTATCTGTGTGAAAGCTAGGAGTAAAAAAATAATGTAAATAAATAATCAATTTGCATACCACCTAATGACAGTCCTAGAACAATGCTTAATTATTAAATAACCATGGAGAAAAGAGGATAATTGGACACACCCTGACACACCTTTAAAGACTGAAAACTCTGAAAGAGATTTTCTCTTTTTTACAAGAAGAATCTGCTGTCAAGTAGCCCACTAAGCAAAATATTTTGGTTTGCATTTGACAAATAATCCAGAAACGTAACTATGTTAACAATGTTAAATGATGGCAAGAAGATTAAAGAATTAAAAGAAAGGTGGAGAAATCCATATCTTGCTTGGGATCAATTGCAATCACTAAAATCTATTATGCAAAGTAAACCATCTATTTGAAATGGTATCAAATATAATTTCTGAGACAATTCCACATAAATGGCAATAATCTATCAGTAACTTCATATGGAACATAACTAGTGTTAAACAAAGACTAGTGTTAAGCAAAAATTTCTACAAGATGCTAAAGAAATTTCAATATTCAGTTATTTAGCTTAAGACCAAAACATTTATTACGTAACCAGTATCTTCATATGCTGTATGCTCTTCCTTCATCTCATTTTCAATGTTATGAATGAGAAAGACAAATAATCATCATACGTAACTTTTAATATTTTAAACTGTAACTAGTATTGATAGAATATCCACTTTTTCTTTCCTCTTCTCTATATTATCAGTGAGGCACTCTGGGCAATGTACAGTATAAATATATTCATTGCCTTTATAGCAATAGCACTTAAATATTACTATTACTCCTTCCTCCTTTTCTTTACCCCAAAGCAACAACTCTATGAGGTAGGTTGGGCCTAGAAAGGGACTTACTCAAAGTCACTCAGCCAGCTTTTATGTCCTAGGGCGATACTAGAACTTACAGTTGCCTGGTTTCTTGTCCAGCACGTACACCATTATGACTCTTTTATTATCTATAGTACATTCAATAGGTATCCAAAAGGAATAAGAGTAGAAGAAGAGGATGAAGAAGAGAAAGCAGATCAAGCAGAAGCAGCAACAGAAGAGGAGGAAGAAGGAGAAGAAAGAAGAAACCAATGGTTGTACCAATAGTAATAGGAACCCTTAGAGCAATACCCAAAGGGTTGCCTAGATACTTGGAAATTTTCAATTTATCAGGACTGAATATTCTGACTTTGCAAAAAAACACTTTACTCGGAACTGCCTATAAACTCTAAGACACTACCTTAACAGCTCTTAGCTCCTTGGTTAGTACTTGAACTGTTAAGATTTTACCAGTCCCAAACTATGAATTGGATTAAATAACCATTAAATAACAACAACCATTGGCATTGACAAATTTGTCATCAGTCAATTGCAAAAGGTGGCTTTATTGGGAACAGCTTCCATCCTGTGACAATATCTGGAACACCATCAAACATCCACATCTTCCTATCCCAGATAGGCAGGATTCAATAGGTAAACAAAAATGCCAAACCCAGTCTGTAGATCTGGCTGACTGTGCGACGAACCATAACAATAAACGTGTGGTTCCAAATTGAGACCAGATACTCCAGTCTGGCTATTGTAAATGAAAAACAACAACAACCACATAAAGTAAAGTTGCACAACCTAGTTTCAATTTCAGGTAAACAGAGAAGTTTGTGGTGATTGTTATTCAGTTTTATTAAAGGTCATTAAAGATGGGTGCATAAGTGCCTTCAAGAAGTTAAAGGGGGAAACAACCTCTTGGACTGCAAGTAGAGCAGGGGAGTTGAGTGCAGCTGCAAGCATGGCTGCCTGGAGTACCCGCCATGAAAGAAATGGAGAGGCAGAACTAACAGCAGGATCAGAAGCAGGACTTTGGCTGAGGCCCACAGCAGCCTCCAGGCAGCCCGGAGGGTTGGACGTGGGAAAGTGCTGCACACAAAAAAAAGGGGAAAGAATGACATGTAAACAACGGCACAAGAGCAGCATCAAATACAGCTGGTGGTTCCTGGTGGAACAATGAAAAGGTGGATTTACTTTTTCTTCATTTTTTTTAAAATAAGTCATTGATTTAATATTGGAATAATGCTATGAAGGAACCATCTCTTTTTTTTAATCAGGTTAAATTGAAAAGAGGCATCAGTTTCTTCTAAATTATAGCCCACGGATTTTAAAAAATGGTAAAGCCGCAGTACTGTCTTTTTTTAATTAATTCAGGAGAAGTTTAAAAGAGGGGGGGGATCACCAATCAGAATAACAGGTCACAATCATAGCCAAAGCAGTGGGAGGAACTGAAATCCAGAATGGGATTTCTTAAACTAGCTTTATTTCCATCTGGTTTATTCATGGGAGATTAATAGCTTAAAGTACAGAAAACACCTAACCCAGAATTGGGGTGAAAGTTTAAATTAAGTAAGCTTTACACATCATGCAATATGGTTAAAGCTTGTTGTGTGAATACAGCCAATGCCCTTTCCTTCTTTTCCCCATCCCCCCCACCTCCAACTCTTCTGCTTTGCATCTACCTATTTTACAGTACCTGCATGTTTATTTTTTTCTGGAGTTCTAGACTTAATATGCCACTCAACTTGTCAAGGCAACTCTATGCAGCTTACAGTCATACAATTAAAATATTGTATAAAATGTTAAAATGTTAATAAATCATATCTCTGTTAGTCCATTGATCACTTACATGGATGAGCAGTACTCTTTGGAAGTAATTCTGTATAGTTCCAGACTTGGAAGTCTCTTCTGAGAGAATAGGAAAAGCAAGATGTGAGATGCAAGAGTTCCACTAAGCACACTTAAGAACAGTGTGTTGCTTTATTTCAAAGAACAGAGCATACAGATAGTCCTCAACTTATAACTATTTTTTAACAACACTTCAAAGTTATGATTGGCATAGAAAAAGGTGATGATTTGTGACATCCGTCCTTAGAATTACAATCATCTCATCACTCCCACAATCACATGATTGGAATTTGGGCACTGGGCTACCACTTACATTTGTACACTTGTTGTACAGTCTTGCAGTCACATGATCATGATCTGCAACTTTCCCAGGCAGGCTTCTGGCAAGCAAAGTCAATTGGGGAAAGCTGGGTTTCTCTTAATGACTGCATGTTTCACTTAATGATCACAATTAAAAAATTGTTGTAAGATCAGGTCCAGTCACATGGTGACTCAATGATTGCATTGCTTGAAGTCCCAATTGTGGTCATAGATTGAGGACTACCTGAGTGCAAACTAAGAGTATCCTTTGACAGTTTCTTTCCCCTTTAAGAAGCAAGTATCAAACTGAAAAAAGTGGCAAAGATGAAGGCCCTCTGCTAGGGATAACATTGGTTACCTAACTTAGTTTGGATAAAAATAATATATAAACTATGTTAGTGAGTTTAAGTGTATGTATCACTTTAAACTGTAAACCAAGTTTTTTGGTGCGGTTGTAAAATCACCATAAGAGGGAGCAAGAGAGCTCACTGTTTGTTCGGCTTTTACTGGAATGCTGACAATGAAGGATTGATGGTGATAAACTGCGTGTTTGCTGAGAAGAAGAAAGGAGGTTTGATTTTCTTCATATCTCTGACTGCAAAAGAGATATATCACAGGACTGATTGATTGTAAATTTACTGACCTCTTTTTCGACACTGCAAACTGAATAAACCCCGGACTGTCTGAAGTTAGTGTATGACATATGGACTGTTTTGACTATGCTATAACTCTTGCTGGAATAAAAACTATTTAACTTGCACAGTGTATCTGTCTTACTGAGTGTAAGCTACTACAACGTTTTGTCTCACATATCTGCCTGTCTGCTAGACTGCCGTTGTACGTTCTGCTAGGGTGTATATCCCTAACACCCTCCAAAGATAGGATTTGCAGTTGTCATGGACTGGTTCTACAGCTGTGTGATCAAGTGCAA